ACTAGACCTTCATGCCTGAGAAGGTGTCCTACCAACCTATCTCGCCTATTTTTTATTGACTTCCATAGAGTCCTCTGTTCTCCTATTCGTTCCAATACCTCTTAATTTCTAACTTTTTATATCCATGGTACCCGCATCATTCGTCCATGTTTTGCACCCATACAGCGCCACTCTTCAAACATACACCTTTAACAACCTTTTTCGAATTTCTAAATTGACCGTTCGCGAGCATAGAAGTGACTTCTTTTTATAGAAGGCGATTATCCAACCGTCCAAGGTGTGTTAATGAGATCAAATAGGTTTGCAGTTTCGACACAGTATATACTAATAAACACATTTTTTGCTAGAATGTTACCATAAATGACATCTTAAATAGACAGCAGTGGAGCCCCAAGAAGATAACTACTGTACGTATCCATATTTATATAAAAAAAACAAAAGAAATTCAACAAAAGAGTTAAAACAAAAAAACACTATTTCGTGCTATTTATTGTAATGTAGGACTGACGGGAAAAGCTATTTAGAAAGAATCAATAATATTAAAAAAAAAACTACGTAGGTAGAGATACTCTGAGACTACTAAAGTCACTTTGTTTAAGATGAAACAATTGTTGAGCGTCGTCCGGAGCTAATGAAGAAATCAATCAGTTTTGTTTTTAATTAGAAAAGTCCGTTTTAATTTTAATTTTAGAGCGAACTAAAAGTGTGAGGAACTAATTTTTCCTATTTGATGTTTCCAGCTGCGAAAGGCGTACCTCTCAGATTTAGGATTTTCCAATTTTTATTAGACGTATGACATGAACCTTGGTTTTGCGTTGGGCAGTGACCAAATTTCGCTCATTTCTACCACCTAAATACATTCGCCGTCATTTACTAATCAACCCTAGTTGTATAGCGAGGTACGATGGTTAACTGCGAAGTCAATTTCGTAATGTGCAATATGAATCTGCCTCTCGTGCGCGCATCTGAAGATTCATGTGATTCTAAACTACCTATACCTTTAATTATAATTGTACTGTTTAAAAGTCGGTTTATTGGTCATTTTAGAGATTGCGTCAAAACCAATAAAACAAAAAAAAGAACAATTGACGGCAGTAAAATGCAGGGTTAATGAACACAACGGTCATGCAGTGACTGTTAATAGCATTCCCACTCTGATGACCGTGTTTGTGTTCTGTCCTTTTTTAATTAACGTTATATTGTTGGAGATCTTACTCCTTCCACATTTGGTGCTTTTTCTTTAATTCGGGTTGCGTATAAATTGCCATGCTCACTCTGTTGCAATTTCAAAGTAAACGGCGCGAACCGTGACACACATAACCGTTCTCTTCGTCGTATTGTTTGTTATACTCGAACTACTCGAATAGTGAAAAACATTTTGTTAAAGTTTTGTTTCAATTTTGTGAGAAAAGTATACACAGTTTTTTCAGTAAGTACTTAGATGTCGTAAAGATAATTGTACCCTATGATCCTTTCAACAAAAATTATTTTATCCTTGTTTTTAAAGGTATTAGACGAGTTTTGTATATTTATACGTATTTATAAATTTTGTAACTAGCATAACTTTGGGATAGAAGATGCAAAATGTGATTATCTGCACCTAGTATTACTTAATCTAAATTTATTTTTACAAAATAGATAAAAATTCTATGTTCAATTCCACAAAATTTTGTTTTTAGTAAAAAAGTTAAGAAGGGGAAACAATCGTAAAATGTTAAGCAAAATCAAAATTTTGATGAAATTATTATAACATTGAGTGATTATTTAAAAAAATGCAGATACGTATCTAGAGATTATTTTAAATATAACGTATAAATTGGTTTTAAAAAATTCATTAGAACAAACAAAAGGCAAAGTACAATAGAAATGCCGTAACTTCCAAATACTACAGCATTACATAAAAATAAGTGTATATGTTAAACTTATCTTTAACTTACTAAATTTTTTAACACATTCATTGATTTTACAAATTTTAAAGGTATTATTTGTTTGTGAATGCAGAAAAAATTATTTGATTCGACAAAAGCATATCATCAAATTTAATTTCGAGTTAGAGAAATATTGAAATAATTACAGTAACTGGACTTCCGGAGCTAATATAAATAACTTAAAATTTAAAAGCAGTTCAATAGTTGCGAATAAAAATTGAGTGAAGGTATAGTGGAAATTAGTGACATTCTACGACATTTATGAATAAAAATACTTTCTAATAGTTATTTATAAATGTATATGATATAGAATAACAGACGTTCTACATAGATAAAAATTGATTGATATTATGAAAATTAGCTCTTGTTTTTAAAAAAAAAAGTAAATAGGTAGGTGTGCATTGATAGATGCTAAGTCAGTCGGAAATGAATCAGCAATTACAATAATAACAGAATTATTTTAATTCAATATTGAAATATGGGTTTTTCTTTCTCTGCCGTTCCAGATAAAACTGATTTCTATTTATTTTTAAATTGCTACTGAAAAAAAAAACCATCATAACTGGTTTGACCACGACGCTTATTTTGAATATTTATAAAGTTTAATAACATTTACATCAATTTACAGCTGTTTCTCTTGCAAAATTTTTGCTAGATAATCAAACTGATTTTTCATTGCTTCTGAAGAAAAACAAACGAAAAAATTATACAATTCTCAAAGGACCGCGCTAAATCCTTAAGGAAAATGACCCTCTTTTATACTCTTTGATACTTTGGATTCTAGTAGTTCACGACCGGTACATCGAAAGACCCAGTGGGCGCTAAGTCGTAAAAACTCATTTTTTTGAGATGTGGTTCCTTCAACTTGCATTCTTCCGTAAGGACTTTCAAAGTATAAAGTTGCAGCATTTTGATCGTCACTAGGTACATTCTTTCCACATATTTGCAATGTTTTAAAGTTTCAATAACTCAGCATTCTCTATCATTTTCCTAATTACATTTGCGGCGTTTTTACGGTTAGATGCAAGACAGTTGCTTTTCCCAGATTTTTATCAACACAAAAATCTTGGTATTTTTGCGAACCAATGCGGTAACGTCTTGCCACATGTTACAAAATTATTAAAAACTGGTATAAATGCCAAAAAGTTTGGACATCTAACATTACAACCTAATATAGAAAACACTTTTGCCGCTCCCCACATTTTCACCGCTCGGGACCCATGATCCCTATTGCAACCTCTACGCTACACCACTGGTTACAAATATATTAGAAGCGGAAACAGTCAGACCTGGTTAGACAGTTGTCGATAATTATTGATATATCAATAACAATGATAGCAACTGATGACTATATATAGTAGATAACTAACTATATAGTAAATATATCCACATATATTTCAAACTATCGATAAAAATTCCTGTTATTTGAATTGCAAAATATCAGTGTTCGTTTATGTTAATAAATAATTAAAAAATAAAAAAAAACAAAATAGTGATTTTTTTAAACATCTTGATGTATTGGTAATTGTAGAATTTTTTAAATATTTTTGAAATGAGTTATTTTCTAAAAAAAACTAGCGATAATTATTGAATATATCGATATATCGATAGTTGGTAATATTGTTATCGATAACAGTTATCGCCCAAGACCTGGATTAGACTACTGTTCGCAAGTTGTAAGGGATGTGGAATGCTCTAATTTTAGGGAAATGCGAAAATCCTCATTACGTGTTCAAACAGTCTAGAAACTAATGACCTTGTGATCGTAAAACGCTGCTAAAATGTAGTTTTATAGTACTGGCTCTTTTGAGCTTACCGTAGGCCCAAACGGCATTTGATTTTGCAGCATATGTTTAAACAGTCAAACATGGACCCACGTAATACAATCTACATATCACATCTTCGTAGTTTCTTAATTAAGCATTTAATCATTTCACAGACTAATTGCTCTATATTAAGTCACATCGCATTGTATTGTGTGATCCGTGATGTCAGAGGCGAGCAGATTATGAATTAAAATATTTCATAATCTGCTGCTTAATAAGCAAATAAGATGTGTATATAACGTATTAAACAACCAGTAGATATAGATCGCGATTTGAAAGTCTTGGAATCTAAGGAATTCAAAATGAACCTCATCAGTTCGCCTTAGACATTTTGGACATAACACTAAACTATTAGCTGCCATTAAACATCAAGCAGCGTCTAAAAAATAACTGTAGATTGTGTCTTGACGCAATATTTAGTAACTTGCAACTAATTGTGAGTTCATTAATGTCTGAGAAGGTCTATTCTGTTGTGATCTCTACAGAATTAGAAGATCAGAAGCACACTTGTTAATGAATAAATATTAGATATCATCGTTGTTTTATGATCAACTGATACTTGCTGTTAACTGAAGTTATTTCAAATGTTAGACAAGGGCCTTACTAATACTAGGAGAACCAGAGACAACAAGGCGAAGCTAATGTTATACTGCTTCATTTTAGTACATGTCCGTCGTTATCGTAACCATCAAGTGACGAAACACTTATACCTGCTCGTGACCTTCGCAACAGCTGGTACATAGACAAGTCAATTGTCAAAAGTTACTGCTATTACCACAAAATACACAAATAAATTGAATGTGAAAATATCAAACAGAAAAGAATGTATTCGCGGACATGGTGGTGACATATGGATGGTGTAATGGGAATTCACTGGCAGCATCACGCCAATACGCGTAATCACTGTTGGTGTAATTGGGGGCTTTCGGCAAGGTCATTACCTTCATGTATTATGTATATCACTGAGTGGTGCGAGATGGTTCATTCTATTTCTTTTCCATGTACCTTCTTCTCCTTTGGTTTTTCCATAGTACTGATACTGACATAGATACCTAATTGAAAAAACCCAGTCATTCTGCTTACCGCCAGAACAAAACGAATCTTACACAAAAAAAGAACTGAAATTATCGACACACTGCAGGAGAGGAAGTCATTGTCTCATTTTATACTACTTGAAACTTTGTAGGATGACAGACACTATAATAATAAATAAGAAAAAACGGTCTTGCTACTGTTTAGCGGAACAGAGACAGTCTTGCAGTCGATTGAAAGCACTGCTGATACGATCAATCTTTTTTTATCAACAATAGACTGTGGACAATTACTAAACAAAAGAAATGCAAAAATAATATACCTACAGGTAAATACAAGACAACTGAATTTTGTGTTGTGCTCATTCCAGCACTACTAGTCACGACAACAAAAATTGATCCCCTTTCACGTTGCTCCATTATTCAGCAGCAAGACTGGCTATTTGTACATCAGTAGGGTATATTTTGTCTAAAAAAACTTTTTATGCAGTATAAAATAACTCACTGAAAACATTCGTTAGCTCTCGCAAGGTAAACTTATCCAACTGAATCGACTTTGCAGATTATAAAAGTCCAGCAGAATGTTCTCGGATCATAGACTGCCGATTATCACGATTATCACTACATGGTATAAAACAAAGTCGCTTCCCGCTGTTTGTCCCTATGTATGCTTAGATCTTTAAAACTACGCAACGGATTTTGATGCGTTTTTTTTTTAATAGATAGAGTAATTCAAGAGGAAGGTTTGTGTGTATAATACATGCATAATATAGTAGAGAAACACTGATAATTTTAGAGGTCTCTAATGGGATGTCGTAAATAAACACATATTTTTTGCTCTTGCATTGCAAACGCTGGCTGAACCTTACGAGATAGATCAAAATAATGTACTACAGTATAAAGAGGTCTACAAAAAAGTTCGGGATGGTATATGTCTACCTCTTAGGGATAACCCACAATAACCATTTTTTAACCTTTACTTTTTATGAGAAATAATGGCTTATTTACGAAGCAATTTTAAGCAATACAGCATTAATCTTTATTCAATAAAGTACTTTTAAATACATTGTCCATTTAATATAGATCAATATGGCCCTTTACAGCATGTAANTTTACTTTTTATGAGAAATAATGTCTTATTTACGAAGCTATTTTAAGCAATACAGTATTAATACTTATCCAATTAAGTACTTTTAAATACATTGTCCATTTAATATAGATCAATATGGCCCTTTACAGCATGTAATTTAAATGAATATTTTCGAAGGTATTACAGATTTAAAATGCAGGGACATAGCGGATGAGGCGATACCGGCCGTGGGGCCGATTTGTATTGTCTAATGACAAAAAAGCTGTGAATGTTGTATATAAAAACATTCTGTAGTATATTTACTATCAGCATCGCACCCGTGCGAAGCTGGGGCGAGTCGCTAATATCAAATAAGATCGAAAACTTGATCTAGTTTTGATAAAACAACAAAACAATAGCCTAATCTATTCCTAATTATTTTGTTATTGTGTGTTTCGTTTGTCATTTATATAGTTTTAAATCACCTTCTATGGTCTGATAATTATTTATACGATTCAATAAACTGTGACTTAGCGATTTTGTGCCCTTCCGAGAATTACAACTTTTAATTTTAT